TAGGCCGGCGATTTACTCTTGTGATGGACCATGCACCCCTTCAGTGGATGCAGCGGAATAAGGAAAAGAACGCAAGGGTCACCAGGTGGTTCTTATCCCTTCAACTGATCCAGTTCCGCATACGGCACAGGGGCTGGATGCCACCACAGCAACGCTGATGGTCTGTCATGAGCACACTGCCTGGCGTCCCAAGTTGCCCAACTCTATGGTGTTGAGCAGAGGAGGGGATATGTGATGGGGCAAGGTCAGATGGCTATAGGAAAGTAGTGAGAAACAGGTATGTTAGCCCCAGGCTAAAGAAATCCCGGTTACCGTGGTAACTAAATGGCAGTTGCTCCAGGTTAATCAAGACACCTGGGGCCAATTAAGATCCTTCCAGAAAGCAGTGGAGACAGCTAGGTTGATTGGGACACCTGAAGCCAATCAGGGGCTGGCTGAAACTAGTTAGTCAGGGAGGTGTGCATGTCAGGAGCTGTGGGAGGAAGTTGTGCTGTTGGAGAGACTGAGAAGTACACACCATATTAGGCACAAGGAAGGAAACCCTGAGGTAAGGGTGAAATGAAGCTTGAGGAAGTGGGGGCTGCTGTAGGGAAGTAGCCCAGGGAATTGTACACGTCCTGTTTCTAAAAGGTCAGCTACCATAGCTGATACTATTAGGGTCCCTGGGCTGGAGCCTGGAGTAGAGGGTGGGCCCAGGCTTCCCCCTTTGCCCCCCTGATTAGTCACCTGAGACTGAGAGACAACAGAGACTGTGCAAGGGAGGATAGCTTCTCCTCACCTCCCTCGCTGGCTTATGATGAAAATGGCTCAGTAGGCTGTGACGCCTGCCTCTAGAGAGAGAAGGGCTATGTGGAGGGTCACAGTGAGCCTCTGAGGCTAGCGAAATCCACCAGGAAATGCGAGACCCACGGAGACAAGGACAGAGCTTTGTCACACTACCCACAACCCACCTCATCTCATTACCACCTGCCAGCATCCGGCTCAAATCTTTCCTCAAACCATTCTTCCCTCTTGCCACTCTGCCAATCTCCTGTCCATGGGGCCTGATTCAAAGTCACTTACAGCAAGGGAAAGACTCCTATTGAATTCAGTGGGCTTTGGGTCAGGATTATTAACCAAGAGAATACATGCATTCAAAGCTTTCCCTCTGGCTTCCCTCTTCCCCCTCACACCCATGTGCTGATGGGGTATTTCCTCACTGTGCTACCACTATAATTTTAGACCATAAGCTCTTTGGGAAAAGGGTCTTTGGGTTGCATTGCAGAAATAAAATAAAATGCTGCTATATAATTATTTCTACTACTACTAAATTATCACTGTTAGTTGATAATAAATACTCCTCAGAGTGCAAACCCAGTGGCCAGGCTTTCCAATGGGCTGGCCAGCCATTAAAGGGAAGGAAAAAAAATTTATCACTTTGTTTAAAAACTAAAAGAAGAGTCCTGAGTTATGCCCCACAAGCCCTGATCATGACAAAAACATTCCCTTCCCTACTCACCAGGGTTTAAATCGCAGCTGTAGCTGTGTATTAACATAACACATTAGATCTCTGATTTTTCTTTTTGAAAAAGAAAAGAATCGCTATTAAAATCAGTCCTAAATTGGGGTGTGAGGTGTGCATAGAGCTGGATCAGTGCTGCTGCAGGAAATGTAAGGGAACTGCTGTTTGTGGCACAAAACGAGTGTGTTCTTTTCTGGGAGGTTTCCCACCCAAACCCAGATTAAGCCCAGATCAGCCTGGTTTATAACATCTGCCCACATACAAAGCCCCCTCTGGCCTTGCTGCAGAAGAGTGAGTTTGTAGTTGTGCTCACTAAAGCATTGGAAAGAACAGAAGCTGAACTCCAACAGAAGTTTCTTCCTCAACATGAGCACTGCAGTCCCTGAGCTGCACCCCCTTTTTGCTAACCCATTCCCACCACCCACAAAACTCTGCCAGTGTTCCCCATTTGCAGCAGCGCCATTTGTTTGAGTTCTGGAACCCCACCTGGCTTCCTCAGCATATCTCAGTTCGGCGCTGAGACGGCCCCTGCTCTTCTAGCCTTGCCCACAGAGCGGTGCCAGTGCAGAACAATGCCAGGCTTCCCTAACCCACAGAACTCTCCTAATGCAGTGCAATCATCATCAGCCCATCTTATTCCACTTCTGGATGCCCGCTACTCAAGAGAGTAGCAATGGGAGCCAGATGGGCTAAGAGATCATGGGCCCTCTGAGTGGCACCCTACTTGTCAGGCACCCAGGCGGCCTATATGGCCCTGAATGAAGGACAGGCCTTGGGACTATGATACAGTGAAGGTGGCCGTCCTGGCCAGGGTTGGCCTGTTGGGCAAAAAATATAGACAAAATTTCATGCTGTTAGATGGACTGGGGGTGTGCAGTCCTGAGCCATTGCACAAAAATGGACAGACTGGGCAACCCGTTGGCTATGACTGGACACCTGAAGTGCAGGGGAGATAATAGACATCATAATACTGGAGCAATTTCTCCAGAGCCTCCTTGAAAGCAAACATGTATGGGTCCAGGGGCACCAGCCAAGTATAAAAGGTACCTCAAGAGGCTTCTTTTGTCCATCTCCCCTGCACTGAGGCAGGATTAAATAAACCTAGACCATCCCTGACAGCTATTTGTCAAACCTGCACTTGAAAATCCCCTGTGCTCACAGAAGAGGACATCTTCTCACTCACATTAGAGGTCCTTGCTGTACTGCAGATAAGCGTGCTCTATCACTTGCTCTCCCTTGCAAGCTGTTCGATGTTTAAGTGTGCACAGGTGAGTTCTACCCCAAAGGGTTGGTTGATTCAAACTGTGTGTGTTTACCTACCCTTGAATTTGCTGCCATTCATATTTGCCTCTGAGTTTTTCTGTCTGACACGTCCAGCTCATTATATGGAGGAGATTCAAAAATGACTCCAACCTTGATAGGTATTTTTAAATGAAGAAGGATGCTAAAAATTTTACTCAGCAGGAATAAACTGAGTTATTGGATCCCAGGTTATTCTCTCTCTCCAGGGAGAGAGATGCTGGGACTAGGGCTCCTGGCGTGCTGCCGCACCCCGTCTTGAAGTGGTAATAACAACCCAAATACACCTCTACCTCGATATAACACTGTCCTCGGGAGCCAAAAAATCTTACCGCGTTATATGTGAAACTGCGTTATATCGAACTTGCTTTGATCCACCGGAGTGCGCAGCCCCGCCCCCCCGGAGCGCTGCTTTTCCGCGTTATATCCGAATTCATGTTATATCGGGTCGTGTTATATCGAGGTAGCGGTGTATATGGCTTCCGCCTTCAGTACCCCCACTATAAAAGTTGTTCCAGCACCACTGCAGGGCTTAAGAACACATCCTGCAGTTGCTCAGTGCACAGTTGTATAACATACACACACATTGTGGGGCAGTTCTCTAGGCTGTGTTATACAGGGGGTCAGACTAGATGGTCACAATGGTCCCTGCTGGCCTTGGAATCTATGGAAATAGTGATTTAGAAGAGCATCACATTAATTGAAGGATATACACTCTCACTCCCCTTTATCTCAGAACACTCCTTCCTGCTCAGTAATGACACTTGGCATGCTCTATCCATTTTGCTCAGTAACGCTTATCTACCTTTGCACTTAAAGATTTTATCAATGGGGATACTAAGGCATGGAGAGGGGAAGTGATATGACCACAATTGTACAGAGTTGGGAACAAATCTCAGGTTTCGTGACTCTCCCTCTGCAGCAGGACACATAGGATATTCACTTCATCCCATAGACCTCCAGGACCCACAGGAAACCTGAGGATTTGTCACCTCTTGCTAATTATTATTAACCAGGTTTATTTTGTCAGTGCCTAACAGCCAACCAAGAGTGGGGCTCCGTTGTGCTAGGTGCTGTGCAAACACTGAGTAGCAGACATTCCCTGCCCCCAAAGAGCTCACAGTCTAAACAGAGCAGATAGAATGGGGTGAGGGAAGGAGTAGAACATGCCAGCAAGAGTGATTGAGATGGCAGCAAATGGCATGGTAGTCTTACTGTTTTGTTTTTAGGTACTTTTCCATAGGCGTGAATCAGCTAAATGGAAAGAGAAGTGAAGGAGAGGGGCCACTGAAGAGAAGGGGGTGAGGGGACAGGGCAGAGAAGAGGTAAGATGGGCACGTGTGGTGAGAAGCTGAGGTGCAGAGATTGTGAGGGAGGGGAAGGAGAGGGCTGAAGCCAAGAGCCGATTAGCACAGGGCAGAGACAGTCCAGGCAGAAGAGAAGAAAGTTCTCCCAATGTCTAGAGGTCCCTGCTTTGGGTGCATCTGCCCCTTCCCCTCCCTATCTCTTTTCCTCTGCTTCTCTCCACCTGCCACCCGGTGGGTGAGTGTGTGTGCCCTAGTGCCCCAGTACAGCAGTCTTTGCTTTGGCTAGTAGGCTAGTCTGCCTCCTGGTCAGTACAGAATTGTTCTCCAGTCTGGTGCTGAGTAATTTTTACCTCTTCCCTGGAGAGATTGTTCATTGGTCCAATCAACCTCCCATCTGATATGTGGCCTAACTGTCTGTTTCTTCAAATAATTTCATTGTCTCCCTTCACCACCCTAGAATCCATCTCTGCACCAGGTGGCACTCATTGCTCTAATAGCATTTCCAGGTCTTGGCCATGACTGTATTGTGCTAAGCCCTGTCTGTAGGGAGAGACATTCCCTGCCAAAGAATTTACTCCCAAGATAGATAAGGACAACGGAGGCTCAGACTTTAGTGACTTGCCCATAGTAGGTCAGTGGCAGACCTAAGAAGAGAACCCAAGTTTCTTGGGTCCCCACCCAATGCCTTCTCCACTGGCACAGTGGTTCTCTGACAGTTGCTTCAGATACTTGTATACAGTTATCATATCTCTTGGTGTGCATTGGCCACCCAAACCAGTGTTATCTGTCCAGGTATTCATCATGGTAGGATCTGAGCACTGTAATGTGGGAGGGTGAAATCCCCCTTGCCACCTACCCAGATGGCAAGATTATTAGTGCCCCATGGTGCCTACCTTGTACACATTGATGGGAAGAGCTATGAGGATGTAGAGAAGGTCCCCAAGAGCCAAGCTAGCAATGAGGACATTGGGCCCATTCCTCATGCATTTGTTCTTGTAAATGATCCTCAGCAGGGTGGAGTTGCCGATGATGCCCACCATGAAGATGGTGCAGGACACGATGGTATTGATGTACTTGAAGATGTGTCTGATTTCAGCAGGCTTTATGCACATAGTGGGCAGAGGTAGCTCTGACTGGGCATTCCCAGGGGTGTCATTCGACTGGTTGGAGGAGGCTCTGACATCCTGGAACAAGCTCGATTGGACAAGACTGTAAACCTGCTCCTGGTGTAGAACCTTCAATGGAATCGTGCTCTCCTTGATGTTCCTCGGGGTCTGACTGCAGACGCTTGAGAAGAGGCAAATCAGGCAAATGGCTAGTACTACAGAAGTTGGGATTCTAGCCATTGAGGATGGAACACCAAACCCCAGCCAGATTCCTATGTGCATTTGCTTGCAGCAGTATGAATGTCTGTTTGAGTCTTGGCTTCTCCTGCAGAGAAGGAATGGGGGGAAAACAGTTATGAGGGAAGGTGAAGCATGATGAAATTGAGGAATTGAATGATGAATCAGCAAAGAAACCCCACTGTCATTATTCTCATAGGGCCTGACCAAAAGTCCAGTGTAGTCAGTGGAAGTCTTTCCACTGACTTCGATGGCTTTGGAGCCAGTCCACCCTCAGAGCAGTAGACGCCCTTGAATCGGAGTCACTGAATCTAACATGGATTAACCTCTTTAAATATCTTAAATACAAAAAATGCTGCTGTGTCTGAAATCCTTTAATTCAGTATTTCAGCAAAAAGCCTTTGCCCCTCAGGCACTGCCCAATCCTTATTCCCCTTCTAAAATTATTTCTTTTGTGTATTGCAGCTATATCACCTTAAGCTGAGATCTCAAGAGAGCCAAGTTAACCGGGGCCAGTTTGCTCAGTACAATAGAAGTCCTATCTTCCCAAAGACTTAGGGAGACAATACATGATGCACATTGATTAAATGGATCATGAGTAGTCCAGAGACTGGTTACATGGAGCTATATTGTACTTTGAGGTCTGCTGTCAACAACAAACATTGGTTTTATTTCAAGTGGTGGTGTTGATTCAGTATTGCAGTTGGCATTCTTCACTTCAGACCAGGAATGGGCTAACAGCTGTGTGCTGCACTGTGCCACAGGCGGTGCAATATATCAGATGAAGTATGAACCAGTAATGTGGTCAGTGAAAATCCCATGGCACTTGTCACAGGTGTAAGGGTGTGAACCCCAGGTCTGGGTTCACTTCCAAACCAGGTAATTACTGCAGTTGATTTAAAATGTTATGTCATAACACTTTTCTGAAGAAAAGTGGCTTTTTAATTGCACTGTAAATTTTCCCAGAAAATTCCCTCTCGAGGTTGCTGCATTGAAGTGGTGGGCAGAGTGCTTCATATAGTCTGTAGAGCACTTTGGGATGTGTTTGATACAAAGCGTCTTCAGTGTGTGAAATACAAACAGATGTTTCTTCTCAGCCTGGCCCGGTGAAGGCTTAACAGTCAGGCTCAGCCACTGATTGGCTGTCTGACCTCAGTCAAGTCACTTCACCCATCAGTGACTCAGTTTCCCTGTCTGTAAAATGTAACTAATGCCCTCACTTATAAGGTACTCTGAGATCTGTGGTTGAAATTTGCTAGCTAAGGGCTATCATTGTTACAAGAACCAATGCAGAATAGGCCAGTCTCCTGTTAAGAATTCTATGTCCTATTGCTCTCAGAACAAAACCAGATTGAATGCTGTGAGTCTGAGGTTTGCCAACAAGCACTGATCTCAGGCCTGTCTTTTATATCTTGCTGGCTGTCATCCCATGCCCCCACACTCCTTCCATCTATAATTTGGTCTCAGATAATTACATCCGAGTTTATCTCTAAACAATCTTCTCCGATTCCAAAACCCAGAAGAAATGCTAGTCGGTAAGAGAGCAGCAGTAATATCCATCTAGCTTAGGCATCACCATAGTATCTGAGTGCCTTACAATCTTTAATATATACTTATCTTCACAACTCCCCTGTGTAGCAGGGCAGTGTTGTTATTTCCATGGTATAGAGGGGAAACTGAGGCCGGTGAGATGAGATGACTTGCCCCAAGTCACACAGGAAGTGCCTGGGAGAGCAGGGAGTTGAACCTGGGTTTTCCACATCCCAGGCTAACACCCTAACCAATGGATCTTCCTTCCTCTTTGATAGCCTTGGTAACACCCGATGTAAACCCCTTCTCCACACCCCACACAACAGCACTGCATTATGACAGTCTCTGAAGTGTCCACTGTCCCATTGGAACTGGACCTGAGGCTAATGGAGATATTCCCATGGTCTTCAGTAGGCATTGGAGCCAGCCAGTAGAGATTTGTCCAACATCCCAGCTGTGTGAGGCAGTCGTGAAGCAGCTAAAGATCCATTTTCAGCATGCTCCATGCACATTTTAATCACTCCCTGGCTCCCTGTAGTACTAAAAGAAACCATGTGGCTGAATCCATCCCTGAATAGACCACATTTGCTGGGAATAGACCACAAGATTTTCTCCCACTACGGTGTGTTTAAACCAAACATCTAATACCAATTAATATGGTGGGGGAATATTTTCCCCCTCTATTGGTATAGTTCTTTAATTGCAATACTTAATTTCAGAATCTCCCACAATATTCATGTTAAATATTAGCGGATACATGTAACTCTCCCAAAGCAATATGCTGCTTTGATGAATGATAGCACAATGGTGCTCACCTCCCAGTTGAGACCTCTAGGTGCTCCCATAAAGCAAATAAAACACATTAGTGCTTATTCCACTTCCCAGCTCATGGGCACTGTTTTACAATAGCAGTGCGCACATCTCAGGATTTCAAAACACTGAGCCATTTAACCTTACAATGTCCCAGGCAGTAGGTTAATAGTACAGAGGAGAAAAATGGCACAGATAGCACGTGACTTCTCCAAACTCACACAACAAAAGCATGGTGGAGCCAGGATTACAGCTCAGGTCTCCTGACTCCTACACAATTGCCATAATTACATGACTATCCTTCCTCCTGCTTTAGCTAGTTGCAATTATAAAATAAGTTTTAGATAACTACAGTCCACCATACAACAGACTGAGCCTAATATAACACAATTAACACCTGTGATGTACCAGGGCAATACCTTGCTGATTAGATAAATAGATATGAACTTGGCCTTCTGTATTTAACATTGTACAAAGTGGTATAGGGCTTGATCGCTCCTCCAGTAAAGTCAAGGGGAGCTTTGACTTCAGTAGGAGTCACAGTAAGACTATAACCTCCAGCAAGTTGCTTGTTAAATTATGGGCACCATTTGTGACAGGGATATTCAGAGTACTGGTAAGGGATGGGGTGAAAGGAGAAATGTGGCAGGCCAAGATTCCAGGAAAGGGGTATGGAGTTGGGGCATGGAGATGAGGGCCAGGGACTGGGAGGGATGTAAAGGGTAGTGACAAGGTGCGCTGCTTGGTCTCAGAATAGGGAAGGCCCAGGAGAGGTAGAAGGAGGGGGTGTTTTTTCCCCTTTCTATATTGAATTGGGACAAAAAAGCTAAAACTAGAGCATTTTTATAGAACTGAAATCCCACAAAGTCTAGTGTTTCTGAAATGAAATATGCTCCTGGATTCCCTGCTGCCTACCTGCAGTCACTGCTGACTGAAATGGATTGATTCTTGTCGGTTTCACAACTGCCCACCATTGAATAGCTGCAGTGAAACTAACAACACCCTTGTTGGGAGGCAGGGAGCCTAGATAGCCGGCTGACCTAGAGTTGCAGACCTTAGAAGCCCCGGGCTCACAAGTTCTGGGGCAGTCTGCACTCTGCTTATGTTCTGCTGGAAGTTCACTGAAATTGAACCATTCCACAAAGTGTTTCTCCTTCCTTTTAACACCCTAATCCTAAAGGCAATTGAGTCCTTGGTAGTTTAAATAGTAAACAAACAACTTTGGGAGGGAGATTATAGCATTTGTTTCTCATTATATGCCAAATATGGATAATAAAAAATTAATCAAATCTTTTAATCACAGAATGGATCTTCTAAGTGATGCTGGAGAATTCAAATTGCTGTAGAGTTTATTAAAGGGATTAGTAATAAAAGATACTTTTTAAAGACAATTTCTTTGTATTGTAACTGCTTATGATAGAGGAGAAGTCGTCAAAGTGCCCCATCAATTTTTTCACCAGCTGATAACTGGGATGCTTCTGTGTACTAAAATATTCATGCTAATGATTGCACATGTGCATAGTGACTTTCATCCAGAAGGGGCCCAAACAGCTTTATAAATATAACGAATGGATAAACTATATGCCCGCAACACTCCATCCACCACTGTGGTGAAGAGCAGCAACTGAAAAACTGCACAACAGTTTAGGACAGGAAGTGAAGAAGATCATATTCAGTTGCAAGGGCATATTCAGTTGCAAGGGCATTCAGTTGGGATTTTAGGCAGAATATAATATATCCCAGTTGGGAATTCAGTCAGGACATCAATCCATCTATTGATCATCATAGTATATAAGGTCCTATGGCTAATACCCCATCTCATGCAAAAAGTGATGTAAGATCTTTAATGACATCAAGTGGTCATGACCTTGGTTTTATGTCACATCCAGAAAATGGCAGCATTTAGCCAGACAAAATTATATATTTGAAAATTCTATCTGCCAATATTATTTAATTGTTTGTAGCACTTTGTGCCAGGCTAGTGTAAGATACTGATTAGATGCTCTGTGTCCCCCTCTAGGGGCTAGTCCATCTATAGGCTAATAGATGCTGCCAGCCAACAGAGTTGCTCATTAAGCTCAAGCAGTAGAGGTCTGTGCTTTGACACTAAGGATCCAGGATTCCAACATGGCTGATAGTGGGGGATCCATACATATGCAACTCAGTGGAGTGAAAGACATTTATCAGCTGTTAACCAGATAGCAGAGGGACACCCACCAAACACAGCTACACACTCCCTTAATTACATTAGCACTAGAGCTGAGTGAAATCTTGTTTGGAAAACAATGCCGATTCGGTGTCACTGCAACATTTTGCAAATTTGTGTCACTTTTCCCAAATTGCTTCCTTAGAATTTTTTTTTTAAAAATGCAGATGTTTCATTTTGACAATTTTGAAACAAAATGTTTCAATTTTTCAATTCAAAATGAATATCCTTTAGTTTTATTGTTTACATTAAAATCAAAATGAAATGTTTTATTCAACCTGAAACTTTTTAATTGCCAACAAACCAAAAAATCTGTTATCATACAGCTGTAATTAGCACAAGAGCTGCCTGCTACCGAATTCTGCTCCCTTTTGCTCTGCCAGCCTTTGGTCCTACAATTCTTATGCAAGAGTGCAGCCCCATTTACTTCAATGGGACAGCTCATGTGAGTAAGGGGGGAGTGATCAGGCAGTTCCAATGCCTACATATCCTTTCCCACAAGGTGCTTGTAAAACAATTAACTGAAAGCAGCGACTGTTCCTGCTTGGTCTTAAAAGTCTGAAAGTCCAAAAGTTAATGAAAATGTGTCTTTGTTGATTTATATTTCCAGGCTCTTGTGAGTGCCTGAAATGTTAGCATGCTGGTCTGAAGCAATACAATCTCTTTTAAAGGGAGACCATCCAGATAAGTAATCATTGTAACATCTCTTTATAGGACTAATAGGTGCAGGATATGGTCCATCCTTCATCATCCTAATTTTGCAGATGGGGTAATTGAGGCACAGATGGGAAGAAAATTGTCCAAAGACACCCAGCAAGTCAACTTAAAAAGCCAAGGGTAAAATCCCTGGACCATGCTATACTCCTCATAATAAAAAAAATAATCATTCTCCAAATAACAACTCCATTAACTACCATACTGACAGAATCATTTACATTCTTTTTTTGGAAAAGTAATAGGACTTAAACCAATACGGTTCTCCAGAATTTCAACAGTGGTATACAGAAATTTCTGTAGAAAGCTAGAGAATTTAATGGAGAGTGAGATCCTCTCTGTAGAATCTTTAAACCATTTTGTAGATGGTAACAGAAAATTATATCCTTGCGCTAGAAATCTGTGGGTTGGTTAAAAATGTTCTTCAAAGGTTAGCAGCATTTCCTACTAAATCCTAATGGGCTTTCTCCTAATGGTTCCTTTCTGATTTTGTGTTTTTTCCAATGTAATTCTTGCGTTTCACTCAGCTCCAACAATGAAAATAGACTGGTCAGTGTCACTTTCTGTGTCTCATGCACTAGTGCATTGCTTCTTAAACATTTTAAAACCTTATTTACTTTACATACAACAATAGTTTAGTTATATATTACAGACTTATAGAAAGAGACTTTCTAAAAACATTCAAATGTATTACTGGCACACGAAACCTTAAATTAGAGTGAATAAATGAAGACTCGGCACACCACTTCTGAAAGGTTGCCGACCCCTGCACTAGAGCCTTAGTTAGCCATTCACTTTGATGCAGCCCCTCCCTTATCTACCTGCTGTGTGATGGCATGCTGATTTCAGGGGGACAGCTGTATGTACCTGCTTTAGCCAGCAGCACTGCCAGTGTGTGCTCTTCCTGGACAAACCTGACATATTATGCAGCAGACAACAGGGTAAGAACCTTTCTGGAGATAAACACCTATTGGCATGAAAGATAACTGAAATAAAGGGCAGAGTATTAACATCACATGCCCAGCTGTCTATTGGGTCTGAAAACAATCAGGTTCCTACACAAACAAGGGACAAATGCAGGGTTTGCCCTATAAACTGCTGAACTCCCTTTCTTACTTTCCAAAAGACTTATTGCTCACACCCTCTTTCTCATACACATCTCAGGAACATCTTGAGCAGTTCTCAACCTCCTTTTTAGCTTATCGTCCAGAGCAGGGATGGGAGAGAGAGAGGGAAAATGACATTCAAACATGCAAAAGTTCTTATTAGGAGGTTCAGTTGTTGGATTGGCTTGTTTGCAAAACACAGCATGGAACCACATAGCCTTCGTCAGAATTAAGTTACCTTCCTCGTCCTTAGGAACTCAGAGGCTCCTTGGGTTAATTTCATTCACTCTAATGGCTCCTTCTTTCTGGATAGGCAGCTGGGCTTGGTCTGGAGGCCCCAAAGATGTTGGATCCCAGAATTTTCTTTAATGTGCATGAGCTGGGAAAGGATGCTGTCGCCGAGACTGACTGCTCATTACCTGCTGAAGTGGCTTTGAATGGGGTGGTTAGTTATATAGCAGTTCCTCGGTGCCCCCCGGACACCAGCACTACAGCCAATGGTTGAAGGCCAGGGTGAGGTTGGAGGAGGAGGGGGAAGTGGGAAAAATACAGGATAGCTCTCATAAGGGAGATGAAAATAATAAACAAATAGTGTGCTGCAGGCAGGAAGGAGGAGGGGGAGGGATCCACAGGCGGGGGTGGGGGGGTGTGGAGACGGAAGGTTGGATTGGACGCCTCATTATTGCAAGAAACATAGCTGGCCTGATACTGCACTGGAGCATTTTTGTAATGGGGCCCGAATTCCTGCGTTGTATAACCGTCTTTTAGAGTGCAGGTTGCAGCCAGAGCTGAGCCTGTTTGGGGAAAGGGTGCTGAAGAGATACACACCCTGCTGCCAAGGGTTGGACAAAACCGGTTGCTCCCATAAGCTGATAGCCTGCTCCCTCTGCACCAGGAATGTGTCACCAGAGTATGCTCCAGCCCAGGTGTGATGTGTCCATTAGCACCTGAGCCCAGCAAGGGGTGAGTAAGGCAGGATCCAGACGTTCCATCCAGGCCGGCACTCCTGATGGAGGAGTGTGACAGAGGGGCAGATGGCAGCTCAGCTGATTGCCTCCCACTGGAGACAGCCTTGGCTGCCCCACTTAGGAAGAAAGTCAAGCACTCCTGAGTGGGAAGAGTCCATCTGGAGGGGCTGAGAGGGTGAATGCTAATGTCCCTTGCAGCTGGGAAGAGACAGGACTCAGCTGTAATGAATATAAAGGGAATTCTTGATTGAGGCTGCTGCAGACAGACAGACCTGTGATTTTCTCTGGATCACAGACTGACCTACCTAACATCTCCCTATGTCCTGGTCTGGAGTCAGCAGTCATGGACTGGATCACTGACTACACTCCAAGAGTCTGTCTAGCAACCTCAGCTATGGGGGAGTCGCACACAGTGTGTTCTCCCATGTAGCTTCTGCTTTTGTTGGGTCTTGTTTTGTTATTTTCCCAAAATAGATTGGACTGGAAGTTTATGGCTGCTTTCAGTGTATGGAAACCCCAGCTAGTAAGTAACTCCAGCCACAGACAGCACGTCTGCAGCAGAAATGCCCAGAATCATCTGCCTTCTGCTTCCTATAGACCACATTTTTTGACAATAACTAGTGCCATTAAAGTAGCTCATGCCTTGGAGGATGGTGAAGAGAGGGTTACTCATAATGGAGCCAATCATTGGTCTGTCTAGTCCAGCACCTTGGCAAACCAAATAACTATGAACTGCCACTTCTTCAAGGTTACAACATCCAAAAATATAAGAAAGAAAAAAAAGTCCCCAAAGTCCCACCAAAATCCTCTTTTCCAGTAATGCAACAGAGAGCCTGTTCCTGGGATTGGCCTACTTCCACCAGCCATCCCTATGGAGGCTAACACTTGTGTGCTTCTGGTGAAGACTGCAAGGTTGTTTCATGAAATTCCTTCCCCTCATGCCCAGAGGTAAGGGTGATCTCAAATTAAATGTTTCCACTGACGGATTGGCAGCTTGACCAAACCTGTTTCAGGACTGCAGATTTCAATTTTCTCCCTTTAGATCAAAAGTCTCCTTGGCTCACCTACTTCTAAGGGGAAATTTCCTTCTTAAGCCAGACAGGCAATCAACTTATGCCCAGAAGTATGAAATTTGACTGAGGTATGAAACTTGTACTACAAAATCCACAAATCATGGAAAAATCACTTGGCTTGTGGTGTCCTTACGACTCGAAACTCAAGACAGGGACCAAAAGTTTTGCTAAAGTTCATGAGTCGAACCTTCTGACCAAACCAGGAATGATTCATGTTTTCATGGCTTTTTATGTTGACAGCACACACACAGAGAAGTTAGATAAAAACACAAAAGACTCTTGCTGGAAGGTTGCAGTATGACACTACTTTCTTAGAATTCAGAGTGATAACACACAAGACACACAGAGAAAAATCAGGCTGCTCACTAAATCAAAGGCACAACTCACCTCACCTCACTCTAGGCTTGCAGCAAACTGACTGCTGCTAGACACATGCATCCCTGAAATTTAAGCGAGAGTCTATAATTTCAACACGGTTTTTAAATACACCACAATGGTGAGATCAGGTATAAGGCAATGAAACTTCTCTTGGGGACTTCGGAGTCATTCATCTCAGAAGCTCAGGCTGAGAAAATGCACAGACACTAGAGCCAAGGATCACTTGAAGCAGTGCTGTACAAACCCACCGAGCTGTGCCAGCTCTCACTGGATTTCCTGATTGTTACTTCAGCTTGTGAACACCTCCTATGTGTTCATTAGTCCACTAGCAAAGGCTGCAGATGTGGCCAAAATCACTGCTAGCGCATGCCAGCTGGAGGCTCAGTTCATGTAATTTTGACATGAATCTCCTCGAGAGGGGCAGGAACTCTTCATTTTTCTGTTTGCAAATCAATCTGTGACTGATTCTAACACAGAGAACTAAAAAAATCCAGCTGAAACTAGCTCTTGAATGAAAGGGCCAGTGGGAGAGAATTTGGAGCCAGGAAAGAACATCACAGAACCATGGAGAAATGAAGGCACAGAGAAATTATCTGAAACCAATGTCATTTACTCTCCACTTTGATTGAAAATGTTTGTTAGAGCCGAAGCGCGAAGACAGGAAGCAAACACGTCTGAGAGGGGAAAGGGATGTGGGACTGTTAGCTCAGTCTCCAAAGGCTGCTTGAGGACAGAGGGAATGTGTTTAGCAGATCAGTGAGGGAGCAGAGAAGTGGGCACTGGCCTTATGGCTGTCAGGCTAGCATGCAGGTTTCTGACACCCAAGATTAAAAAAGTCTGTTGTGCCAAGCCAGCCAGCCACTTGGAGCCCTGGGGTTTTCTAGAGAGCCCCAGCTCCCAACTGCCTGTATCTTGGGGAGCCAAGCAGCCTGGGAGTCCAGTGCACCAGGGAGCTGGACAGTCAGGCAGGGAACTAGTTTCTGTTTAAAGTTTTGACAAATCAACATATGCCCCCAGAATGTTTAGATTCCATCAAATCAGCATTTTCTGACTGAAAACTGCCACACCTGAAAGCTTTTATCTCTACTAGTCAGCACGTAGATTGGGGATGTCCTAGTAGTGGTAGGAAGCTGTGTTGGTGGTGGTCTTCTAACTCAGTACTGAGCCAATAGTGACAGGGGATGGAGGTTTTCTTTTGGATGAGACAAAAAACTGAGGTTCTAGTTGTCTTTAGAGCCCTATTTGGGCTATTTGTAAAAGTAGCAATGTTCACTGTGGTATTCTGGCCAACTGCCAAAATCAGTAATTAGCTCCTTCATCCCAATATTCTTGCTGCAATTTTAATTGGACGCATGCTCTATTTCATGCCCTGCCCTCAGCGATTGTGTAATGGTGCTGTTCACTATTAAACACTGCCATGGTTCACAGTAGAGTGATGGAAGTACAAGGCCAGATTCTTTCCTACATTAGGGCCTTACTATGTGATTCTGCATGGTAGATATACCCAGCCATGGGAAGATTATCCCAGCATAGGGGGATCCTGTGTATCACAGAACCAGCATACCAACTGCTAAGCCATCCCCCTCCCTGTTGCTGAAATGGAGGCATGGCCAGCCAGGGAAAAAGGGCTATGCCCAGAGTTCCCTTAAGGCTGTCTGATACCTGGCTGCCATTATGGTTTCTTGGGACCATAAGCAGCTGGCAAAAGAGTAGTCACCAGGCTGCAGCAAAAAGCAAACAGCAGCTGCATGATCAGGGGACCCAAAAGGTGGCTCAACATACCCCCCTACTCTTGAGTTGCACAGTGTGCTCCTTATCTGCAGGCAAAGATTTGGGGCACAGTTAATAAAGCACTTTGGAGGGAAAGGTACAATATGCATGTAAGAATACCATATGAGTCAGAGAGAGAAGAAAAGTCCTACTAACTACTTCCTATTGTGCATTTCCTGGTGGTTTGTCAAGGCATTTTGGAAAAGCAAAAAGCCTCTCATCTTTCTAACTCCCATTTGATTTATAACCTCAGGATCAAGCTACAAGCTTTATTAACCTGAAATCTGATTGTCCTCTGGCAGAAAGACACACCTGAGAAATTTCAGCAGATTGGATTGTTTGGGAATCTGGTGAGATGTTTCCAAATCTAGCTTAGAATGGAAAGCTAGTTCTAATCGGAGCTGGCATGGACATCTTTCCCTGGAGAACATTTTTGATGAAAATGAAAATTTCCTTTGAATTTTTTTGGGTTTTCATCAAAAAAATATTTGATTTTTGGTCACTGAAAATCAAAACATTTGGAGGGTTTTGAATAAGACGTTTTGACAAAATAGGAAATTCACTCCCTCCCACTCACCCAAACATTTAATGTAATTAGAAAGCCATTCTGTGTTTCAAAAATAACAATCCCCAAAAGATCATTTTGGTGAAAATTTTTTGCTCAGCCTTAGTTACAACCTTCACCAAGGAATGTCTGTACATAATAATGGCTAGTGCTGTGCAGCAGAAAAGCCTGAAATTAATTTTCCATCGCATGGCTCGCAGCTTGGATAGTGCCAGTGTTAATTTCATAGCTTCTGGATTTTTTCCCCCTTAATTACATTTATTTCTTCAGCAACAATTCTGTGTCCTATATCTGAAAGAATGTCTGTTTGCTTTGCTTTTTGATTAGCATGGCTTCCAAATTGCATAAGTCTATATCTCTAGTTTCTCCCATAATTAGGATATCATCGTACAGCTTAAGCAGATAATGATATTATATTATCTAGCTATCCAATTAGCTTGGTTATCCTGTTAGCTAATTTACAATCCAGATATCCTGTTAGGGCTTAGTTATCATTTTAGCTCTTGCAATGTACGGCTCATGTTCTAACACATTGGAAATCAATGGGGCAACAGTCCTGCCACTGGGTAACTTGCTCTATTGCAATACATCTTTTAAGATGGATTAATAACAAGGCACTGTTTACTATTTTATTTGCTGGTTTGCCTTT